CATCCGTTTCGGAAGGTTCAGCGTGTACGCCAGGCCCCGTTTGGCCACAACCTTAAACAATTCAGTAAATCGTGGACGAAGCTCCGCCCGGAAGATAGCAGAGGCTGCATGTGTAGGCAGTTTTTCTAATTCAATAAAACCAGGTCCCCGGCCTTAAAGCTTTCCACCTTGTCTCTTCCTTTTTCATCTACTTTTTTGTGGGTTTTGGGTTTCAGCCATCGCATCGCGAACGTGTCGTAGGAAGGACACTCAGTCTGGTACAAGAAGTCATCGACTTCTTTACGGATGGTGAGGGTAGCCGTTAGGCACTTCCTCCCCCACCAAGCCCTGAGACTTGAAATGGCAGCGTCAGCGGGACGCTAGGGTGAAGCAGCCCGTTTACGTAGAACGACGTGTAGCCGGTAGATACATGCACTGCATTGTTCAGTGCAAACTCTACGAGTGGCAACATGGCGCTCCAGCGCCTCGGCGTCTCAGCGCAGACGTGCGAAGAATGTCTTCGATGACGCGATTCACCCTTCGGTTTGATTATCGGTCTGCGGATGATCCGCTGTCGTCATATCAAACTTGGTGCCGAGCACCTTAAAGATAGTCGACCAAAATTTTCCCGCGAAACGGGGTTCTTTATCAGAGACAATCGACTCTAGGAGTCCGTGTTGTCGGAAAACACAAGCCACGAATAGCGTTGCTGTACCGACCCCGTCGATTGTGTCTGACACCGCCGCCAAATGAGCCATCTTGCGCAACCAGTCGACGAATAGCACGACACCCGTGTTGCCCGCCGAATCTTTCGGCAGGCCAAACACAAAGTCCAAACTCATGGACTGCCAGCACCCAGTGAGTACCGGTAAACTGGTCAGCAGCACAGCTGCATTTGGAGCAGGTTTCACCCGTTGGCACGTCTCACACGTGCGCACATGGGTGCTCGTCCATTTGTACAACTTGGGTCACCAATAGTGGTGAATCATAGAGTTGTACGTTTTTTCACGACTGAGATGACCACTGAGTGGCGTGTCGTGAGCCTCATAGAGGATGCGGTATTTCAAATCCCCATCATGAGGAACCACAATTTGTGGTT